ACGGTGGAAGGGCGATTGGAATGATGCAGTAGGACGGCGAAATTTGATGGGACGGTGGGTCAGGACGGTGGATGGGACGATGGGACGGCGGCGGCGGTAGCCATGTTCAGCGAACAGACGAGCCCAGACATTGGCGGGATAGCTTTCATTTGTTCTTGGTCATCAGCTTCATCCTCCGGATCCCTGGAGCAGCTTTCTCATCCAGGGGGCGGCGCCACGGACTTTCGTTTGTGGGGGGGGTGAGGGGGGCAAACTCGTCTAGGCTGGTATCCATCACGGGACTTGGACGGTAAAATTTAGCCCGCGCCCAGATGAGAGTCTCAGCCAACTTTGCCATAGTGGGGGGGGGTCAAATGTATTTGACCACACTACCTTTAAAAAAAAAGAAACTAAAAAAGCTTAAAGACGCAGAAAAAGCTAGCTCGCTATTAGGTCTTTCAGGATAATACTGGTCATTTTACGATCAGGTCATCGCTAAGGTCACGTCTGGAGGTCACCAAATGTAACGTTGTCACACAAAAAAATGGTTCCCGATTTTGCCAGATTTTCACAAATTAGTGGAAGTAATACACAGGAACAAATAGAGCTACAAAGCTGCGGCAAATCGCATTCAATGGATCTTTTAAAACCCTGAGTATTGTCCTTAAATTTGACCTAGGGTCAACGGTCTAGCCACCAGAGGACAAAACTCTTAAATTTGAAAATTGGACGTTTTTGCGGAATACATTTTTTCAATAACTTTTGACACCGAGCTTGTAATGCGTTAATTTTACTGACATCGCGTTTCTCTCGTTGAGACGCTCACGCGTCAAATACAATACAAGATGACCGGCTGAAAGGTCAAGGTCACCTACATGAAACGATATAAAAAAAATTGGTGCTGAATTCTTCATGCAATATCCCAAGTTTCCAACTTCCACGAGATGATCTGTGGGGATGGCAGGGTCACATTTTTGGGAGGCACAGTTATCTGCAGGGTCACTTTCTGTAACCTGGGGCAAAAAAGAGTTCATACACGATGCTAAATTGGTGTAATGCTATATTCTAAACGTAGCTATACCAATGTTTTTACACACCAAAAAATAAAACTGGTAAGTGTGGTCAAAAACGCACTCCTCTACTCCCCACCCGGGCGAAGATTAACCCTAAAAACGACGTGTTTTGAAAATAGCCATGGTTTCCAAATGGTGGTGCAAGTGCTCTTTCATTGATTTTTACCGACCAACATTTTGGCCTCCCAATCATAAACAAATACCAAGTTTCCAAATGATTCTCCATTCTCTGAATATCTCAACCGAAATTTCCTCTTTACATATGTCTCTTTTACCATCTCTCAAAATCATTATTTAGAAGAACCAATTTTGCTTTCCATATTATGACTGCTTTTGAACATGGACGTGTTCATTATTTGAGAAATTTCAGTGGCAGCAAATTCAATTTGCAATTTGCTCCAAACATGAAATTCAACAGGCACTCCAGCACGACCTCGACGCTATCCTTCAATACGGTCGGGAATGGGCCATCACGTTTAACACTGGAAAAACGATCCAACAAACATTTTCCTATTCCCACAATCATCAAGCTCCCGCCCTAAAATTTGGAGGCGAAACAATTCCATCACACGATAGCCACAAACATCTAGGACTCATATTATCTAAAGACCTACGTTTCCATGAGCACGTCAACGAGATATGCAGAAAGGTAACCAAAGCATTAAGTCCACTTTATCCCATAGCGCAATACCTATTTACCATGCATTTCAGACCCCATGAGACCCTGTTTTTCGGCGATAATTTCTTCAATTTTTGTCCAATTAGCTTGAAATTTTGGCAAACGATGTTTCAGCTCAAGCGCCAATTTTTGTCAATATGGTCTATTAACAAAATATCAAAATTTAGAGCACTTGTCGTTACCTCGTAATGTTAAAATCGGCTCCGTAAATCCGTCAGTGGAGTAGAGGCTATCCGTACGTAGGCGTGACGTCACAAACACGTGACCATTAAGCTCCGCCCTCCCGGCGGACGGGGCGGTGACCTTGGCCGGTCAGTCGGCTGCGTGGAGCGGGCGGGGCAGTTGCCGTCGCACCGGGGCGGCTCGCATGGGACGTAGCTGCCGTGCAGTTGTCATTGCAGCCGTAACTTAATCGAATGAGCTAAATAGCGTGCATAAGTAACGCACTAGCTGAAGCCCTCGACTTTGTATTTATCACAAATGTACGACACCCTGTTCAGTCACAAAAAATATCTATTTTCACACAAGATTCGGGCTTTTGAAAAAACCGCTCATAAAAGACGCTGTTGATTTCAAATGCTTGCGTAAAATTATGTATCGCGTCAGACTACGTCCAAATTGCAAAATAGAATCACCATTAATAGGATGCAGTTTATGTGTTTGATATATGAAATTTGATTAGGAATGTATGCCGGCGTGATCGATTTAGATCATCCCGGTGCAGCATAAGCATTGACCACCTTCAGGACTAATCCATTTTATCATCGACTTAGGTTGAGGAGGTCGCCGGACTAACTTTACCCCCAGATCTTGTGTGTTGAAATGCAAACATGAAAAGTAAAAGCCTAGAGATAGTTACCTCACCATTGAGGACATACCTACTGTTACATAAGTTTTACAAAAAGATACGAGTTTCTTGATGATCGTTCTCGTGTAGTGCACTACGTCCGCCTGCCACATTCCTATTTCTTTCTGTGAACGTCACATGTATATGTGACGTTCATGTATATGTATATGTAATGTCATGTGTGTGTCACAGTATAACACACACATGACATTCTACCATACGACACATTACGCTTCTGCCCCACCCGGCGCCCCGCACCGCTTCACGAATCACGAATACGGTCGTCTCGCTGGAGCGATGCCCCAGGCAATCGGCCGTGCCCGAGACTCTTCATCCTAATTTGTTGCTTTCTGCACCTTCCTCAGAAACATTTATTGACGCTGCTAAATACATCAATATTTTTGGGTCATGCAGATGCTTACGCATGATCTTATAGATAATCGCGTAGTGACCTGACCCAACCTGACGATGAGATAGGTGTAACTCCGGCTTAAATAAATGATCAGAGTCCAAGAGTTCATCTATCTTTCCTTCTACGGCCGGTTCCGTTCCAATAGATCCTACCTTGATTCTGATCATTCTGAATATTCTGAGCTGGTTCGACGTTTAAATACCAAAATAAGGAAGGAGGACATCAAATGCCCTCGAACGGATAATTTTTTGGCTTTCGTCCCGAAACAACTTTGCCAGCTTCACTTGTCTCCAGTATGTGGTCCCGCTGCGACCTCTCCGCGGTGCTGACACCGACTGAAGCGGCATAGACCCATCGCGGTCACGGCCAGTGGGCGGAGTCAAGTTGAGCACGGCGTAACGTGATTGGCCAGCGCTCCTATCCAATCCGGTGCGGTAGCGAGCGAGCCTCTATCCGGGTGCAAAAACTGATTAACATTACGAGCCAACGACAAGTGCTCTAATTTTGATATTTTGTTAAGAGAACCATATTGACAAAAATTGGCGCTTGAGCTGAAAAATCGTCTGCCAAAATCTCAAGCTAATTGGACAAAAATTGAAGAAATTATCTCCGAAAAACAGGGTCTCATGGGGTCTGAAATGCATAGTAGGCCCATTCTCGACCAAATATACAAAGTATACATAAGACCCCATTTCGACTACTGTGACACAATATACGACGGACATATTACCGTACATGACGCGACAAGACTCGAGACGCTACAAAATAGAGCAGCACGACTGACGACAGGAGCACTTTTTAGCACATCTACCGACAAACTCCGACAAGAACTAGGCTGGGACAAATTAACCATACGACGACAAATACATAGACTTGTACTTTACCACCAACTGAGTGTACCAGATTCGAAATTGCCTGAATACATTAAAGAAATGATACCTCAAACGCGACAACGAGCTACGAACAGAACACTCAGAAACGCACGCACTCATACACATGAAAGACCACGCACCACTGCCTATCAACGGTCATTTCTATTGAAAACAAACAAACAGTACAATCGTTGTAGGCGAGCAATGGCATCTTTGAGCATCAGTGTCGGGAAACAGTACAATCAGTTTCCCGACACTGTCAAAAAATTATCACCCAGTAAATTTAAAAAACACGTAGAAAAACATTTGGGGCTGCCACGACCACCAGAATTCTACACCCTAGGACCTAAAAGAGGCAACACTTTACATACACGACTGAGGAACGACATGTCACAACTCAATTCACATCTCTTTAAAATACAACACACGGAATCACCTACTTGTGCTTGTGGGTCCAGCACAGAGAGTGTTCGCCATTTCATTTTCTCATGCCCATTATACACAAATCAAAGGAACACACTTCTTTACGAACTAACTAATACTCTCCATTATGACATACGTCAATTTCCAATAAGTACCCAGCTGGACACATTACTTCACGGCACAAACCTGAACAGCGGTGAGCGTCTGCCGGTGGCTCGATCCTTCCAAACGTTCCTTATGAACTCACGTCGTTTCGATTCCTGATCCTGTCCTTATACAATTACATACTTTGGGCGCGGTGCTCGGGGAGGGGTGCGCGGCGGCTGCGGGGCCAGTCGGTACCTTAGTACGATGGTCGCGGGGTTCGACGTGGCGGCGGTGACAGCAGAGATCACCAATTGCTGGATGTTCTGTTCTGTTCTATTTCTTTAGTTGAGAGTTGGTACCCCGAATTAAGCACTTCGTGCTTTTGTGCCAATTCTCAGATATTTCTCATGATGGTTTTGTGCATTGAAGTAATGTTGCCCCCACTGTCTCGCGCCAGTGAGCGCAGCTTCCCCCACAAACCACGGTGGCGCCGACCATGTCCTCAGGCTCAATCCCAGCCTGCATTCCCACTATCCTATACCAAACGGCCCATGTCGTATGTGCCCTTACCGCAGAAACCGCCGGCGATAAATAAAGAATGTGCATGTGATTAATGAAAACAAAGAACGAGAAGCGGACGCGTTTTTATTAATAGCATTGAAAAATGAACTAAGAACTTTGCTTTCGCATTGTTAATGTGAAAATACATAACCGCTTCTTGCCTCATGCTTGAATCTAAAGAAAAACACACATACGAGTACATATGTACAGAGGCGGTGAGCACTGTTTGCTGTTCACAACGTGGTCAAGCTCAACAGTTTCCTCGTCTTGTTTTTATGCTTCATGCATTTAGTATGCCTATTTTTCATCTTCTTGATCGGTGTTATAAACGTTCAGTGTAAACGTAATATTAATCGACAGCAAAATTCCAAACTTAACTAAAAATCCATTGAAAACATATAACTTTAGGTACTCTGTATCAATGGTCTAAGGAGTCTGATTAGAGGAAATAATCAATAACTAAGGAGTCTCTAGAGGAAATTATCAATAACAGGACTTAAGCAGAACTTTGTACTGCATCCATTGATGTAGGTATCATTCAAACCGAAAGCTATACCTAATTCTCCCAGTTAGGATAAAAACGGACGGACTGGATACCTGTGTCCAATGCATTCAAATAGATACCTATCTATAGGCTCCTTCGCAGAGAAGTATCACAGAAATTCTTCTCTCATCCAATAGAGAACTTTGCCCGAGTTGGTAGCATCTTTGTGGCTCCAGGGACTGTGGTGGTAGCTGGTGGTGCCTTCATCATACAGCAGAACGCCCCAGCTGTAACCGGGCTTATTTGTGGTAAGCACTGTCGGGCTATTTCCAACATCAGCGTTTAGCATGTGCAGCCAAGGCATGCGCTTATTAATGCCCGTGCTCTTGTACACCCACTTGTCAAACTTCCTGACGCATATCACCTCCGTTTGGTCCGGATACTCGGCCATGAAGCTGTAGTGTCGAGGAGCCACCCAGACCCCGCCCCAGCGCTGGCGACCCTTCTCCGCCTGCGTCTCGATCCGGTAGGCGAACCGGGTGCCGTTGCCCAGGTCTCGGATGGTGTCGGCGTGCCGCAGGATCGAGTAGTTATCGTCCAGAGACGGAGAGCGCTCCCGCCGGCCGCGCACACTGAGCAGGTTCCAGCCGTCGCGGGATTTGGCCGTCAGCAGCAGCGTCCAGCCGCCGCCGTCGTGGCTGAAGTCGCACAGCACCGGCACCGGCATCCCGGTGAACCAGTAGACGCCGTCCTGAGGCGCGCCGCCCTGGTCACGCAGCTGCAGACAGGAGCGGGCGCAGGCGAGCTTCTCCGGCCGCTGGTGGGGAGCCTGGTACGCTGACAGGGGACTGGGGGACTGGTCACACTCCGGCGGCGACTCCAGCTCCGGCTCCGGCTCCGGCTCCGGCTGCTCCGTCGGCTCCGGGTCTGCCTCCTGAACCGTCTTCAGGTCGTGTTGCATCTCCGACTTTTCTTCGCACGCTCCTCCGACCAGCTCACTCCTGACCGGCTTCCAGGGCGCCTGACACTGACCGGCTGCCGCCCGCAGCTCCAGCAGATCCAGCCGATGCTGCAGCTGCTCCAGCTGGCTGCTGTCCGCTGCAGCTGCCCGCCTCTCCAGCACGCGCTGCACGGATGCCTCCACCAGCTGCGACAGCTGCTCAGCCGCCGACAGCTGCTCAGAAGCCGGCGGTTGCTCGGTCGAGGACAGCTGCTCGGTCGAGGACATCGTCTGCGGAGCGGGCGAGCTGTCCGGTGTGGATGTCACTCCTGCGGCCAGCACTAGGGTTGTTCAAAAAAACCGGATTTTGGAAAAGTATACGGGCTCATGACTCGTGTGGTGAGGTATTCTTTTCTGAGTCCAACGATGTCCTTTTTTCCGAAAAATATTAACTGCTTCATGCTCCCCAAACGGCTTGAAGAGGAGGATGTTACGCCCGGCGACCGGCCGGTGTCAATAAGGGCGAGAATTCGGTGCCGCGCGCCGGCGGAGGCGCCTTATCGGCACCGCGCGCCACGACATCTACCGGGCGGCCGGCCGACCGGTGTAAGGGAATGAATGGGTGGTCTTCTTTCGCATGATAGGGGTGCGCTAGCCCATATTGTCGGAGTGGAAAGTTTCAGTGCAGCATCGGTACCTCTGCCGCAGTGTTCTGTGTCGATGCCCGATGGTTCAGAAAAAAGCCAAGCAGAACTAAGAAAAGACTCAATGCTTCTGGCTAGTTCACTATAAACATCTCGTTTCGAGAATACAGCGCGGCGTTTCACGGCCGCTGCTACCAAGATTGCTGCTACCACGCTGCCGGCAGGCTGACTGACTACATCGTCCGAGTTTGCTGATATCTCCATGGACACCCAATTTGACACGTAGGCTGCTAGCGAGCAGTAATCGCCACGCACTTTGAGAATGTGGATCGATCATGGTTGTTCAATACAAAAGCGCCCGTGAAACAGGACCCAGCTGCCACTCAACATACCATATCGCTTTGTTCATGAGTCAAGACGCGAACTCTGAGCAATAACACAGCTCTTTGCACTGCTGTCGACAACTTACATTGCTTTTAGACGGTGGCTTGCAGCCCACATATGCTGTTGCCAACGGTATGCGAAAATTTGAAGTTTACTAAGAACAGCAGGAGCTGGCAATGTGCAAGGACAGAATATGGAGACCCCGGCATCGACGTTAGGTTTAACCTACATTAGCACTTAGCAGTTAAAAACAGGATGACATGCCCGGGAATGACGCGGTGGCCGCACTGACATCGTGACGAAGTTGGGTGTGAGTAGAGACAATAGCTGGAGTACACATAATGTCAAGCGCCCATCAATCCAACCCTTCGGGCAGCAGCAGCATCAGCAGCCCGGCCATGTCCACCGATGCCGCTCAAGATCCGATCCAGAGCCGGCAGAGAGCACGGCTCTGCCCTGACCTGACACATATCCCCGGCGTGTCATGACGGACAGACCATTACCTCGCCTGTATAAATACAATGTATACACTATACAGTATACCTAACTTACCTATTTCTAAGTCTCATGTTGAGGCAAGAAGTGATCAGCGTCCAGTTCTACTTCGACGAAGACTCGTATTCAGACCTGGCAAAGAGAGCACGGCTCTGCCCTGTTTCCGCGGCTTCTAATGGCCACATCGATACGAGACATCTCCAATCGTCTGTTTTACCTAACTACAAAACCAGGTTGTTGTGTTGCGATTAGCACGATACAATTGTTGCGTACAGCGTAGATATTTGTTAAATGCGTAATTAATTAGAAATAGGAAAAGTAAACATTGCCATCGTCATTCGCCAAACAGGCGATGTCAAGCATAAGTCTGTCCGTCATGACACGCCGGGGATGTGTGTCAGGTCAGGGCGGCTCTGCCCTGGGGGATGTGTGACGCGCTCTATGCCGGCTCTGGGTTCGGGTCTTGAACGACACCGGCGCGGTGGGCACGGCCGGCTGCCGGTGCCGCTGCTGGATTGAGCGACACAATTGATTTATATGTGTACTCCCGCTATTGTCTCTACTCAATTCGTCACACTGTAAGGGTGGCCAAACTGTCATTCCCAGACATGTTATCTTTTCTTTCGAACTGCTAATCTAAGTAAAACAAACGTCAATCCTTGCAGCTTGATGAATAAACAAAGCGATATGTTACGCTAAGGAGGCAGCTGTATTCTGTAAACGGAATGTTTCGAGTGAATTACCCAGAAGCGTTGAGTCTTTTCTTAGTTCTGTTTGGCTTATTTTCTGAACAATCGACACAGAACAACGCGGCAGAGGTACCGATGCTGCACTGAAACTTTCCGCTCCGACAATATGGGCTAGCGCACCCCTATCATGTGAAAGAAGACCACGCATTTTATTCCCTCCCACCACTGGCCGGCCGGCCGCCCGGTAGATGTCGTGGCGCGCGGTGCCGATAAGGCGCCTCCTCCGGCGCGCGGCGGGGAATTCTCGCCCTTACTGACACCGGCCGGCCGCCGGGCGTGACATGGTCCTCTTCAAGCCGTTTGGGGAGCATGAAGCAGTTAATATTTTTCGGAAAAAAGGGCATCGTTGGACTCAGAAAAGAATACCTCACCACACGAGCCATGAGCCCGTATACTTTTCCAAAATTCGATTTTTTTGAACAACCCTAGCCAGCACCAATAGCCAGAGGAGGCCGGCCGTGGCGCGCCTGGCGACTCCCATGGCGGTCACTGGACCCTCGAACACAGCTCCTTGGCGACGGGAGCGAGGTCTGTTTAGACACGTCTGGCTCACCGACTGCCACTAGCGTCACAGGAGCCGCGACAAAGGAGTTCACCCGGTAGTGGTGCGGGTCCGCCGTTCAACTCAGTGCTGCTATCGGCACTGCCAAGTGCCGATAGCACCGAATCAACTGATAACACTGATAGCACGGCAGCACTAAAGACACCATGTTCACATGTAACAGGGTAGCTGGGGCCTGTTTATTACGGTTAGTTGTATGTAAGTATTTACATATTGATTATAGAATTCGAGCCGTTTTTAACGTCTCAATGTGAAATCATTGAATGACTGTGGATAACGGATATGCATTCAGTTCGGACGGATGAGGAGGGGCTGGGCGGTGGGATGGAACAGTGTGACACATACAGTGGGACGGGACGGGTCAATCGTACGGACGGGAGGGTCGGGACGCTGACATTGGACGGGGGGGGGGACAGGACGGAGAGACGTGCCGTTGGGACAAGATGATAGAATGGGATGGGGAGGACCAGGACGGTGGGACGGGACGGCTGAAGGGGACGATGGGACGAGCGTGGTGGGATGTGCGCTACGCGCGGCGAAACACACATGCCCATTGCCCACAAACCCCTACGGCCTACATGTAGTGCTAAACGGCGTTATAGGGGAAGGGGTAGCTATCTCTTATCTCTTCTATCGTGGTAGCTATCTCTTCCGCTCGTGATCAGATGTTTCTTCCTCGGAACCTTGGAGCAGCTTTCTACTCTCTCCCCCCAGCACACACACCTATTTCTCCTTCATGTGTGTTACATGCGCCGGCCGCAAGACTGCCTGCAATATGTATAGGAACGTATATAACGTAGGTATGTAAATGAAATTATCGAATACACAGAACAAGCAATGGACGGCTTTCGATTTCTGAACTGTTTTGAGCGCATGTTTGAGAGCAAAGAACACCCAGCCCAGCTGACGCGTCTATGCCGCTAGCTTCTCCAGTTTCATCTTCTTCTTTACACTTTCCACATTTTTCATACCTAGGCTATCACTTTGTGGGTACTTGTTTGTTTTATACCAGTAATATTGTCACGGCCCCTGGCCGTCGCCAGCTCACACACGCGTTCACCTCGGTCGCTGTATGGGGCATTCCACGTCAAATCGAACAAAAATCGGCTGTTATGCACCTTACCATCAGCGATTTCATTAAAAATTTGTGAGCGAGTTCCTGTGTCGCCCCGGACATTACATTGATGTTTTTTGCACATTCTGACCACAGGTCTTCTAAATATAGCTCATCAAATTTTTACAAAACGTTACATCTTCTTATTTTTGAACGACCATAACTTTGGTTGTACTTATTTGATTTGAATGAAATAAACCTTACTGTTTAGGTAATTTCTTAAGCATTTGTTTAGAATTGCACCTACTTAAATGTATGACCTTGAAATTTGCTTAACTATGTTTTTAAGCACAAAAATTGAAATAGCAAAAAACACGCTACCTTCGATTTGGCTCATTTTCATATATTTTATTGCCTACCATATTCTTAACAACCTGTGAAAAAATTAGAGTGGGCCATTCATAAGTTTTGAAGAAAATGGCACATATGCAAAGGTATGTTAGCACGCGCAGTGGAGGGGGAAGAGCGAATTTCGCCCCACCCCTCCTGTTTTCGCCAATATCTCATAATATTAATGCGAAATTAATTATGGCTACCTGTCCAGAATTGAATTGCACATCTCATCGTGCAAGCAATAAGAAAATCGGTTAACAACTGTTCTAGTAATAGCGGTGTAAAGTGAACATCCTGTCGCCGCGGCGACGCGGCGACTCGGCAGCCGGCGCCAGCCGCTACGCGCCGCCTGAATTGTAGACTGTGCCGGGACGGAACGGAACGGTTCCGTCTTTACATCGCGCTCCTTACCGCTGATTACGTTCGATGCGCGTCAAATTTTGTGAGAAGACTAAGAAATATACAGGCAATCTTATGGTGAAAGAATTCTGAAAATCGATTGGTAAACAATTGAAATATGAACGTGTAAACACAAAATTGTGATTGCTGCGTTTTCCGCGTCGGCCGATCCCGCCTCAGCCGGCGACATGTTACTCTTGGCAGGCCTCTAACTGCCATATTTATTATTGGATTAACTAGAAATTCCCCATACATACTCAAAAATGTATGTTCTTTGGTATAGCGAAGATAAAAAGACGTGAAGACATCGTTGCGTGATAATGTTTTCGTTGAATTTACTTCATGATGCATTTCCATACGGCTCAAAATTCACCGCAAAATACCGTTTGCCTGAGACACTTTTACTATGGAACTTGAATGCTTGACTACGATGACTATGCATTTCCATTCTCGGAGAGTTTGGGATGTCACTAATCAGCAATCATTCATTTCAGAAAGTGTACACAAGCAAGCATGTCTTGACTCTGTCTTTCAAGGTCACGCGCGGTTGCGTGATGTTGATGCATGAAAACGGCGTTTGCCGCGAAAGTTATGAATGGCCCACTCCAATCTTTTCACAGATGGTTAGGAACATTGTGACGGACATAATATGTAAAAATTACCCAAATCGAAGGTGGCGTGTTTTTTGCTATTTAAATTTTCCTGTTTTAATTCAAGGTCAAATGCATTTCAAGGTCACTTCAATTTAATTTTATAATAAAAAATCAAAGCCTTATCAATTGCCTACAAGACCCTGTTAATATCATTTTGATACCAGAAAAGGAACCAGAGTTATAGACATTTAAAAAATTGATGTGTGGCATTTTTGGCTATATTCGATGACCTATATCTCAGCGACACGTTATCAAATTTCGAAAATATTATACGTAACTCAGTTTTGGACCATGCCCAGTCTGCCTACAAATTTTCAGAAAAATCGAAGGGGATGACGGATTTCGGTGTTTGATTTGACGTGGAATTGACGTATTTGATTTGACGTATTCCAACTGCCCGCACGGGTCAGCCGCCGGCCGGCGCGGCTGACCGGCCAAGGTCACATCAGTGACGTCACCATAGCAGGGGCGCCCCGAGACCCCTGACAAATATTTTTCATTAGATCATTTTATAGTATTATCAAAAGTCTGGATGATGCAACACATTTGATAACTTATAGCTAACTTTTCATCGAGAGTTAGCGCTGCACTGGCTGGACTATCGTTATCGTTATCGCCGTCGAGCTCCTGAATGAGTTAGAGCAGAAAACGGTCGTGTGCAAAGATACCAGCCGCAGAGATTTTACACAAGTTCATGGTCTCAGGTGAAGTGGTGACCTCTAAGGTCAGGTCAAAGGTCCGAAGTAGCGGTTCCTACTTCCTTGTTAAGCAAATGACTTCACCAAATATGTATGATCACAGAACTGATATTCACCATTCTAAGCCACGCCGAGTGACATACTTCTCGGAAAAGCCAGCGGTTTGATCTCCGGTCAAGGTCAAGTCGAGGCCGCTCTGATTACGACGCTGGTTGCGGTTGACGCAAGTTGTGAGGACTGAGGAGGTTAGAAATTTCATGTAATTTTCATTTCCCTGCGAAAGATTCCCTGGAAGTGAGGGAATAAGGAAGTAGCGAGCGGGACATTTTCTAACCGTGCAGAGATTCACGTATTAAATCAAAGATCAGTGACTTGATGTGAACTGAGAATGCAGTTGGTGGCAGAATTCCTACTTTGAATCGGGGGACCATCAAAGCGTCCAAAACCGCAGCATCCAAAGTACGCAACATCCAAAACCGCAGCGTCCAAAGTACGCAACGTCCAAAATACGTCCAAAATCGGGTATATAGGGAGCATTCACAACGTCCAAAACCGAAACATCCAAAACCGCAACATCCAAAACGTATCATCCAAAAACGCAACATCCAAGGACGCATCATCCAAAGTACGCAACATCCAAAGTACGCAACATCCAAAACCGTTAGGTTAGGTTAGGTTAGGCTAGGTTAGGTTAGGTTAGGTTTCCTTATCCCCGGTAGGCATAAATCAGTAGGTTAGGTTAGGTTAGGTTAGGTTAGGTTAGGTTAGGTTGGGTTTCCTTATCCCCAGTAGGCAAAAATCAGTAGGTTAGGTTAGGTTAGGTTTGGTTGGGTTAGGGATAGGCAAAAATCAGTAGGTTAGGTTAGGTTAGGTTAGGTTAGGTTAGGTTAGGTTGGTTTTGGATGTTGCGTGCCTTGGATGTCGTGGTCTTGGACGTTGTGGTTTTGGAGGTTACGTGCTTTGGATGTTGCGTCTTTGGATGTTGCGTTTTTTGGATGATACGTTTTTGGACGTTGCGGTTTTGGATGTTTCGGTTTTGGACTTTGTGAATGCCCCCTATAAACCCGATTTTGGACGTATTTTGGACGTTGCGTACTTTGGACGCTGCGGTTTTGGATGTTGCGTACTTTGGGTGCTGCGGTTTTGGACGCTTTGATACGGACCCTTTGAATCAAAGGTCAGGCATGCCTGCTTTCAGGTTTTTATCGCGTACGCACACGTTTCGAGCGATCACGAAAAAAACGTCAGGGCGTGGGTAATAGCCCATCGCCCTCGGCTGGGACAGGGCCAAGTCAAAACACGCTAGGAACTCATCGACAATTATTTAAGCACAAATTGTCTTGAAATGAAAATATTTATTAGAGCATAATTCACCCATTTATGCAATAAAAACAGGTGAACTGGATACCTTTTTCCCATTCCTTCATAAGCCGACATCATCACATAAAGGAAAAATCACAGAAATTCCTCCCTCATCCAATACAGAACTTTGCCCGAGTTGGTAGCATCTTTGTGACTCCAGGGACTGTGTTGATAGCTGGTGTTTCCTTCGTCATACAGCAAAGTACCCCAGCCGTTACGGGGCCCGATATTTGTGGTAAGCACTATTGGACTGCTTCCTGCATCAGCATCACGCATGTTCAGCCAGGGCATGCGCTTATTAATGCCGTTGCTCTTGTACACCCACTTGTCAAACTTCCTGACGCATATCACCTCCGTTTGGTCCGGGTGCTCTGCCATGAAGCTGTAGCGTCGAGGAGCCACCCAGACGCCGCCCCAGCGCTGGCGTCCCTTCTCCGCCTGCGTCTCGATCCGGTAGGCGAACCGGGTGCCGTTGCCCAGGTCTCGGATGGCGTCGGCGTGCCGCAAGATCGAGTAGTTGTCGTCCTGAGACGGAGAGCGCTCCCGCCGGCCGCGCACACTGAGCAGATTCCAGCCGTCGCGGGATTTGGCCGTCAGCAGCAGCGTCCAGCCGCCGCCGTCGTGGCTGAAGTCGCACAGCACCGGCACCGGCATCCCGGTGAACCAGTAGACGCCGTCCTGAGGCGCGCCGCCCTGGTCCCGCAGCTGCAGACAGGAGTGGGCGCAGGCGAGCTTCTCCGGCCGCTGGTGGGGAGCCTGGTACGCTGGCAGGGGACTGGGGGACTGGTCACACTCCGGCAGTGACTCCGGCTCTGGCTCCGGCTCCGGCTGCTCCGTCGGCTCCGGGTCTGCCTCCTGAACCGTCTTCAGGTCGTGTTGCATCTCCGACTTTTCCTCGCACGCTCCTCCGACCAGCTCACTCCTGACCGGCTTCCAGGGCGCCTGACACTGACCGGCTGCCGCCCGCAGCTCCAGCAGATCCAGCCGATGCTGCAGCTGCTCCAGCTGGCTGCTGTCCGCTGCAACTGCCCGCCTCTCCAGCACGCGCTGTACGGCGGCATCCAGCAGCTGCGACAGCTGCTCGGAAGCCGACAGCTGCTCAGAAGCCGACAGCTGCTCGGTCGCCGATAGCTGCTCGGTCGAGGACATCGTCTGCGGAGCGGGCGAGCTGTCCGGTGTGGATGGAACTCCTGCGGCCAGCACCAGTAGCCAGAGGAGGCCGCCGGCCGTAGCGCGACTGGCCACTCCCATGGCGGTCACTGGATAGAGCTGCTGCGAGCGCAGATCTCTGAGGGACGCACCGAGACGCAGACCCACCTGGGTTACAGACTGCTACCAGGGTCGCTGGAGCGCGACTAGGGAGTCCTGCTACCCACTCCTCAGCAGTGCGGGTCAGTCCTTCAACTCTGCTGCTGTCGGCACTGCCACTGCAGTCTGAAGGGCCCACTGAAGGCCCTCTGCTTATATAGGGTGGCTGCAAGCCTTGTTTATTATGGTTAGTTGCGGAATGTGGGCTGTTTATAATAGCTTGGTTGTGGACAGAGTCATGCCATGACGAATGACGTAAAGTATGCAGGGTAAATGACATGTAAAGTGAAAGATAGTATTTTGCTGACTTTGGAGTGATCATTTGTCTTAGGTCTACAGCAATTTGGTAACAGTGATATGGCTAAGCCTCTTCTTGAGTTGCTCGTTTAATACGAACAGTTTTCTCGCTGCCCGCTGCTTAGCCAATTAGCTGCTTGGTTGAATCTTGTCTCATTTATTTTGCTTCGTTGCGTTAAGTAGCGAAGCTGTCTATTCGAATATGGGATGAAGTCTCCAGCGGAGATAAGCTCAGTATCGAAGTGAAAGAAGAGAAAGCTTAATATGTCAAACCAGTCAGAGAGCTCAGAGAAAGTAAGAACGCTGGATAATTGCAACTTATTACTAGGAAAAGATTGATATGTTTTAGGTTATTTAGCCCCTCTGCACCGTGAAAATTCCTGAATATGTTTGCTAGGAATGGGTACATTGGGAAAATTTTGAATAACACCCAATTTAAATACACACATTTAATAGAAATATAGACAAGTACAAGTTACAACTATCATGGTATATGTATGCATCTACATATATCATAAGATCAAGCATAATCCAGGCCTCTGGATTGGAGGAGTCTAAGCTAACCTAAATGGAAACCATGAATTCACTGTGACTGATTCTGAAACGTTACCAGCATCAACATATATTCTTTATAAAGCCATTGTCGTATGTTGCAACACATTGGTTTCCATCCAATTAAAGTCATGCAAAGTAAACGCCTTAAGAAAACATTCCGATTTAAATTACATGTGAAAGGTCTTCTGCAATCATGAAACAAAATCACCCGTCTCGCACAGTGCATGCCAACCGCGGAGGATCCAGGAGGCGGGGAAGGGGGGGGGGGGCATTTGGGGCACTTTTCTGCCACAGCGCCCGAAATGACCATATTTAGCAGTTTCCTCGCAGAGAATCACAAGTTTTGCAGTTTCCTTGCATAGAAAACACTTTAAGCAGCTTTTATTTGAAAAGCGTTATTCTAAACTCCACAATAAGGCTTACGCCATTGACGTAAGCTATAGGTATAATTGCAATGTGTCTAGGAAATTGAGCGACCTATTTTGAAGTAGGTGCCTCCTTATGGGTCTCAAACCACTTATCTGGATCCGCCTATGCGCGCAGTGGGCACGTTTTGAATGCAGGGGCGGCGGAAGGCGTTCTTAGATGGAGTGTAAAATTTTCTAATTGGCCTTCTTAATCGCAAGGGCCCCTTTGTCACTTTTCTAGAAGCTTTGAGTCCTTTTACTTTTTCAAAGCTTATCATTGGTTGATCGCAATCCTAATTTTCGGAAGACATTACCTATAGGTACACACAAAAATCGTCTCAAGGCAGAGGCCGGCGCAGGCCCTCAGAGGCCAAGTGGCCCCTTCGAGTTTCCGTGGGGGCCCTCAGAGGCCGTCGTAGGGGCCGCTGCGGTCGTCATCAGGGCCCTCAGAGGTAGGGATAAGAACCTTCAGAGACCGTCTCGTCACCTCGTGGGACCCTCGGAGACCAGTATGGTTTTAAAAGTTAAAGCCTGCGTGGGGGCCCTCAGCTATCGTCGTGAGGGCCTTCATAGGTCGTCGTGGGGCCTTAGAAGTCGTAGTGAATGCCCTGGCCTCAGAGGTCATCGCGATTCGCGGGGGCCCTCAGAGGCGTCGTTGGGGTTCTCAGAGCACGTCATGAGGCACCAAACGTAGTTCAGCACCCTAAAAGCCGGTGTCCTTAGAGTCCAGCGTGGGGCGCTTCTGATTGTAACTGAACTCTGAAGTTCCCATGATCCCATATGGGCTTTCGTTTTCCTATCACTTATTTCCAGAGGGAAATGCATTGAACGGCGGCTCGACGGGCCTCTTGTACAGTTTTTGGGAGGTGTAAAAAGGTAAGGTTGCCACCCATTTTATGGGGGTGCAGCTGCACCCCCTGCACCCCGTCTTTCGCCGCCCTTGTTTGAATGTACAGAGGGGAGCGTCTGAAATACTCAGCCGCCCATTTGTGCTGACCTCCTGAGCCTGACCTCTCACCGGCAGTCATAAACCACTTCCATCAGAAAAACATTATCATATCCCGTAAGGCTGGCTAATCCGGTGTTTAATCATTCGGGCGGGCATCAAAAATGGGTTATTCCGTGCCCATGTGTGTTTATACCTAGACATCTGGTCGGCCCACACAGCTGAATCAACTCTGGCCAGAGCTGGCCAGAGCTGGCCAGAGCTGATGAGCTGTTCTCGTTCCTCGGTCCTCGGCGAGCGTCAAATAAATATAGTTTTAAGTTCAGTATAATATAACCATACTTCCTGCGCAGAAACGACTTCTGCAGAACGACGCAAAACTAAAAAAGTGATGTTGACTCCACGACCACTTCTTGAAACATCCCATTATGGCCAGCGAAAACAGGCAGCTAATCAGTCCGGCCCACAACTGGCCATCTCCCCGGCCCGGGCCGTGTAATCGGAGTTCTGCTTTGTGCGCGGTCGACTCGATAATCGAACAGGCACTCGGTGGGAGACTCGCTAATCGGACAGTGCACTCGGCACCGACCGCTGTTGATTGGCCGATTGGAGGGCGGCGCTCGTTGGAGCGGCACAGCCGCCCTGGCTGGCTGGGAAAGAAGACAGAGGACACAGTGGCAGGAGCGGTGAGGTCCGTCAGCTTCCCTGGAAAATCTCCCGAGCAGGAGAGCAGTGGTTTCTTTAGGACGGTGAGAGGAGCTAGTGATGGCATCAACAGTCTCCTCGCTGCAGCTCGCGCTAATAGCAGGTGAGAACTGGTAGTGGCGGCAATGCTGAATGCATTGAGGGTTATTACAAGGTCTGACGGACGACAGGTTGACCATCGCCTTATTCGACTTCATGATTTTGGTCAATGCATCGGTTTACTTTTAACTTTGTTTTCATTGTTCTACGTATGAAGAAAAGTCATATGACTGATATACCTACATATGACTGAGGAAATGAGGATGAATAAACTTTGGCTGGAAACGTTCACAATTCCGTTCAAACAATTTGTCGCTATAATTGTTGCGTTGAGACAACACAGTTCCGTACATTGACTTTTCTTCGACTAACCTGACATTTGGCCTCCTGCAGCGGTATGCAGTTGCCACCTGGTGCCGACGGAGGCCGGGTTTCCATGGGTGGAGCCCACAGAGGGCGAGCCGTGGCCGGCGCCGCAGCAGGCCGACATGTACCCCTCCTTCTACTTCGTCAATCCCGCCAAGATCCGCTTCAGGACGACTCGCCACAGCTGTGCCGACCTGGAGGACGCCATCGGCAGGACCCTGCAGACACTACGTGATCTGGCGGCGTCGCACGGGGTCAGGGCAGGGCGACGGCCGAGGAGCGTGGTCTCCGGGTCGTTGCGTGAGAGGAGGACGAGGGTCGCGGCCTCTGCAAATAGGAGGCGCTCGAGAAAACGCGGAGAGAGCCGGCGGGCGTCATCACCACGACTGCACCACGATGTGGAGGTCTGGATGGACGGCATGTGCGACGAAAAGATGATGCCATCTGCTACCATGGACGAGCAGTACAGCATCAAGATTAACGTCCCCGACTCTCCGGGCCGCGCGCAGATCATCTCCGACAGCCTCTGGGGCGCCTACCGTGGCCTGGAGACGTTCACCCAGCTCATCTACTTCTCCGAGAAGCACGGCCAGTTCCACCTGCGGCAGGGAATAATCCGCGACTTTCCGCGCTACGCCCATCGGGGCCTCATGCTGGACACCTCGCGTCACTTCCTCAGCGTCAGCTCCATCAAGGCTACGCTCGAACTCATGGCCTTCAACAAGTTCAACGTCTTCCACTGGCACCTGGTGGACGACCCGTCGTTCCCCTTCGTCAGTGTCACGTTCCCGAACCTGAGTGGGAAGGGCGCCTACCGTCCCGACATGGTGTACACTCTGGATGACGTGGCAGACATCATCGAGTTCGCCCGTCGTCGCGGCATTCGGGTGGTGCCTGAGGTCGATACCCCAGGCCACGTACGCTCCTGGGGTGCCGGAGCAGACAACCTTCTGACAGTCTGCTACAACGAGACGACGGGTCAGCCGGACGGCACCTTCGGCCCTCTCGACCCGACCAAAGGCAGCACGTACCGCTTCGTCAGGCGGCTTCTGGAGGAGGTGACCACCCGCTTCCCGGACAAGTACATCCACCTGGGCGGCGACGAGGTCTTCTTTGGCTTCCCCTGCTGGCTGTCCAACCCCGACGTCCAGGCGTGGATGGAGAAACTCAACATCTCCACCGCAGAGGAAGTCGAAAAGGCCTACATGCAGCGTCTTCTGCGTCTGGTGAAGCGTCTCCCCGCAAAGCCCGAGTACGTCATCTGGCAGGACGTTGTCGACAACAACATCACCGTCCAGCCGGACACGATCGTGCACGTGTGGAAGGGCGGCGCGGACGGCTGGCAGCAGGAGGCCGACAAGGTCACCTCACTGGGACACCGCACCATCATCTCCTCTTGCTGGTACCTCAACTACATCAACTACGGCGTCGACTGGCCGCAGTACTACGAGTGCGAGCCGGAGGACTTTAACGGCACGCTGGTGCAGAAGTCGCTCCTGCTCGGCGGCGAGGCGTGCATGTGGGGCGAGTTTGTGGACGACACGAACCTCATCTCGCGCACGTGGCCCCGCGCCGCTGCCGTGGCAGAGAGACTCTGGTCGGCCAAGGAAGTCAGCGACGCCGAGGTGGCGCGGCCCAGAATGGAGGAGCACAGGTAACTCGTACCGGGCTTCCGTGTCGTAGTCAGAAACTGGTTGATGTAAAATGCATTAGATGTATATTACCACCCATGCATTTTTCGCTGAAAGGTCTTCGCTTCCTCTTCCTTCCAGGCTACATTTCGTAACGCTGAGCCTGATTGGCGTGTGACTGTGGTCCGCTGTCTCAGGGAGGGGCTGTTGGGCCACATTCTAACACCATATCGGCTTTGTTGCTTTTGGCGTTTGACATCAGTCAGATATTCATAGTTTTGAAAGCATTGCACGGCTTCAAATACCGACCTTATTCTGCCGTGTTCGGTGTTGCAATAGAAGGAAACGGCGACGAAGTCGCAAATACAGAAAGTTTGTTTTCAATCGCATCGCTGATACTGTGTAGTATGTAACTGTATGTACCTAACTAAAGTAACGCACCCACTCCATAATTATCTGCGGAGAAGTAACTGCCTGTCCTTGCTGCAGATGCCGTCTGCTGCGTCGAGGCTACGCCGTGGAGCCCGCTAACGGACCGGGTTTCTGCTGAGCTCGGGTCAGGCAACTGAGGTGATACCCGGAGCCCGCCAGTGACCGCGTACCTGACTGACCACTGTCCGGTCAGGTCAGGTCAGGTCATTAACCAAATCCAGATCAACAAGCGCTGGCTGACATTGCTACGGTTATAATGTTTGTGCTTTCATACCCACGAACTAAGAGATGTTAGCTTTGTAAGGTGTCAAAAAACTTGTCATTTCTAGGTGGAGAGCGCAATGTGCCGATTCAATATCCGTGCCGGTTCAATACCAGTGCAAGCCGTACGTGCAGATAACCATCATAAAGGATGATAAAGCATTGCTGGACCCTAACTAGTGTGTTATCGGCACAGAGCTAGGTTTGCCGAGGTTGTTTGTATAATCGCCGTAAGGTCGGTGAACTTTTTTAGATAGGCGGCCGTATGTTTGTAGACAGAAAGATGACCACCAAGACTGCTACACAAGTGCCCAGGATAGGAGAAACCAAAGATAAGCGTTGAAATGTTCTGCACATTGTTGTATTGGTACTCTACCTGCGCTTTGAAGCTCCAAGCGGGAGCAATAGCGAATTCACGTATCATATCATTCAAAAATGGGTACCTAAAGTATTTCAGTGCCTGCCATCTGGCACACATGGTAGGGTTGCACATTTAAGTCGAAAAACCTTTTTCGGCGTCTTTACGGTAAGGCTACGTATGTGTGTATGCCAACGTTTAAGATAAATCATTATGTTTTTTCACGAAATTTTACAACCAAGTGAATTGATGTTTCTTACTGTCATGCTGCTCAATATATCAACTGGAAGCTGCTCGATCCTTGGCGAAATCAATTTACCCGTATCCTGTGGCCATCGCTGAACAAATATCCACATCGCGTGATGAACTCTCCGGTAGCAATAACACAAATCTGCCGGATTTGAGCGAGCGCTCGGCACAGGAACAGTGGGCTCCGGCGTCCCTGTTCGGTGTATGGTTGCCCAGTCGGAGATTATCGGATTTCATCATGTTCACAGTGGGTGGTGGATTGGCGCTGACAGCATGGGTATACCTACTGAGTCTGACGGCTGTACTGGGTATAGTGGAAATCACTCAGCGAGCTGAGCCGGCGCTCAGTTCAGAGCGCAATGCTCAGTTTTGACGGCCATCACAGAGGAGATGGCACTGGTAGTGGATGTTGTGATTTGTGAATTGACATATGGGAGGATGGCTGTCTGCACGCTCGCACTCGTGGTACTGCGACTAGTCGAGCAACATTGACCATAAACTCCTCGGAATAGGTCCCAAACTTATAGCCTTGTGGCGAGGACAGAGATAGATAGATAGAAAGATTGATAGATAGATAGATAGATAGATAGATAGATAGATTGAGAGAGAGAGGGGGAGAGAGAGAGAGAGAGAGAGAGAGAGAGAGAGAGAGAGAGAGAGAGAGAGAGAGAGAGAGAGAGAGAGAGAGAGAGAAAGAGAGTGAGAGAGAGTGATTGAGTGAGTGTGTGAATGAGTGAGGGAGTGAGGGAGATGGGGAGGGAGTGGGAGATCTTAAAACATGAGCTAGGACCATTTGTACGTAGTGAGCGAATGGTGTTCTGCCGACTCCAGACGCCTCAGTGACGACTGGCGCTGTAGACAGCCTATCAGCCGACTCGCAGCGCGACTGGCCCTGCGCTGCAGCCCGAGTGGGCCGCCCGCCCGGGGCTGACGGCCATTTGATCGCTATCTGCACCATCGAACAAGATATTCCCAGATATCTAATATAGATCGCGTGCATACATGGTATGACCGGGCTACCACGCCTGTGTGATCGCCCCAGACCGTGGCGCGGGCGCCGGCCCGACCCGCGGGCTACACGTCGTGATATTGCCACGCTTTGTTCAGAGGTGCTAAATATGGATCATTTGGCTGGTTCTCGACGTGGCAACGCCCACCGTCGGGCTATTATGCGGAAAATTGCTGATATCTGTGTTTAACAGACGGGCGATGAACAGGAAGATGGAATGTTCCTCTAATGCATAATGTGCCCGCGGCAGCCCGTACCAGCGAAACTGTCTGATATGGCGAACGGAAGCGGCACACAGTGCACTGGTGCCTGAGCTAAGCGCGTGGAAGGCATAATTATATCTTTGTTTGAATATTCCTATAACTAGCAGGTCACCTAATTAAAAACACACCACACTATTCGGCTATTTGTAGGCATTACTTTTGCGAGCTGTTTTCTTTGAAAGTGCAATAACTCTGTCTTTATTAGGTCCTTTTATGATGTCCTTCGCCTTGGCCCTGACAAATACACACTCGGAGCAGCGTCACCGTGTGTAAACACGAGTGAAGAAACCGCCCTTGCTTCATCTGGCATCCGTCCGTCCTGCCTCGCCAGCGCGCCGCGCGCAAAGCCCGCAAAAACTGCCGGTCCCCAGTTGCGTTGTCTCCGCGGACACAAACCAGACAGGGCTGAGAGATGTGCGATGCTCGCGCGGCCGGTCCGCCTCTCCTGCAGTTGACCGCGGGACGTCGAAGGGGGAGGCGAGGGTTCCTCTCTCCGGCACCGAGATGCGTCTGGCCCTGTCCCTGCTGGCGGTGTTGGCTGCTGTCGCCGTGTCCGCTGTTCTGGCAGCTGTCGATGGCCGGGCGCCGTGCCGTGTGACAGCGCACAGTAACGCGCTGAGTCTGAGCGGTGACTGCGCTGAGGAGGACGGGAGGAGCACAGAGCTGTCTGATCCCACCACCAAACCCCCGGCGGAGGGACACCACGGTGCCGTGTCCACTGGAGGGGAAACTGAGGTCGAGCGGGACCACCAGCGGCGCCGGCAGCGGCAGCGCGGCAGGAGGGTGAAGGGGCGGCGCCGAGGCGGGCGACGAAGAGGTCCTGGCAGGCGCAGGAAGCACCGCCGCCGGCAGCGCGTGCAGGAGGCTCCCGGGGCTCTGGAAGCGCCGTCAGCGAAGAACGCTCGTCGCCGCCGACCGTGTCCCAGGGGCTTCGTCCGCGTCAGGCCCCACGGTCGCTGTTTGAAGCGAGGTGGAAAGCAGTGGAAGGCAGCGAACCGGAGCAAGGGAGTGAATAAACCGCCGACAGGAGACGGCCGACGGGTGCACGCGTCAGTGACGGGTCGGCTGTCTGGCTCAGGCAGCTGGCCGCGGGGCCGACCCCGCTGCCCCGAGGGCTACAAACGCCACCGCTCCGGGCGGTGCGTCCGGCTTGGGGCGCGGACGGCGGCCGGGCGCGGTCGGAAGCCGGGGGCGCTGAGGGGCCGCTCCGAACAGTGCACCGGGGGTCGCGTGGCCTGGGCCGACGGGCGCTGTGTGCCGCTGGCCACCCTGCGCTCGTGTCCCAAGGACTCGTACCGGCTCAGCTCTGGCCTGTGCGTACGCTGCTGGGTCTCCGATAAGACGGACGAGTCCTGCGCCAAGGGCTGCGCCGTGGACGAGCGCCGCGCCAAGTGTATCTGCTGCATGCCCAACGGCGATGACCCGTGACGCGACCGGAGCCAGCGGCCTGGGGACGTGACCTGCCGGCCCACCCGCAGTGAGGCATGACGTGCGCGCGGACACGCATCGTCGGCAAAAACTTGTGCGATGTGGCACAAAGGACATAGATGGCACGGACAGACGCGTTAATTGGAATTTTATGGGCTTCATTCGCCACAGTCCGTGCGCCGTCACTATTGAATTGCAGTGAATAGCTGAGCCTGCAAGGAAAACTCGTGTGCATTTTTTTTTTTTTTGTCAATACATTTCACGGATACCAACTCTGTAAACTAACGTTGTTTGATGCTGCTAGCATTTATCTTACCGCCTTTTCAGCGCCACCAGCCGCGGGCAGGCTGGAGCTGGGTTCCATTTGAGCGGCTTTGTGGTCATCCCACGAAAACAGTAGCTCTTTCTTTGTACGAAACCACACAGCTACACCTTTCGCGGTACTTGTGAAACCCACGCGAATCGAAATAGTATACCGTAATATAATCAGTGGCGTATCCAAGGGGGGACCCTGGGGGTCCTAGGATCCCCCCTGGAGCCTTGAAAAAAGTTTTTTTTTTATAACACGGCAAAAATTGAAATGACTTCAAGGGCCCTTTTGACCACTTCCCATTTTATTCGCTAAAAGAAAAAGTATTGTAGAACTCTTTTGAGGATTATTAGAGGACACATTTAGGCCAATGAGGGACCTTGTGAAGGATACAGAGGGCCCTCTCAGGCACACAGAGAGCCCTCTCGGGCACACAGAGGGCCCTCTCAGGTACACAAAGAGCCCTCTCGGGCACGCAGAGGGCCCTCTCAGGTACACAGAGGGCCCTCTCAGGCTCACAGAGGGTCCTCTCAGGCACACAGAGGGCCCTCTCAGGCAAACAGAGGGCCCTTTCAGGCACACAGAGGGCCCTCTCAGGCACACAGAGGGTCCTCTCAGGCTCACAGAGGGCCCTCTCAGGCACACATAGGGCCCTCTCAGGCACACAGAGGGCCCTCTCAGGCACACAGAGGGCCCTCTCAGGTACATAGAGGGCCCTCTCAGGCACACAGAGGGCCCCTCTCAGGCTCACAGAGGGCCCTCTCAGGCACACAGAGGGTCCTCTCAGGCACACAGAGGGCCCTCTAGGGCTCACAGAGGGCCCTCTCAGGCACACATAGGGCCTTCTCAGGCGCACAGAGGGCCCTCTCAGGCAAACAGATGGCCCTCTCAGGTACACAGAGGGCCCTTTCAGGCACATAGAGGGCGCTCTCAGGTACACAGGGGTCCTCTTAGACACACAGAGGGCCCTCTCAGGCAAACAGAGGGCCCTTTCAGGCACACAGAGGGCCCTCTCAGGCACACAGAGGGCCCTCTCAGGCTCACAGAGGGCCCTCTCAGGCTCACAGAGGGCCCTCTCAGGCACACAGAGGGTCCTCTCAGGCACACAGAGGGCCCTCTCAGGCACACATAGGGCCTTCTCAGGCGCACAGAGGGCCCTCTCAGGCAAACAGATGGCCCTCTCAGGTACACAGAGGGCCCTTTCAGGCACATAGAGGGCGCTCTCAGGTACACAGGGGGTCCTCTTAGACACACAGAGGGCCCTCTCAGGCAAACAGAGGGCCCTTTCAGGCACACAGAGGGCCCTCTCAGGCTCACAGAGAGCCCTCTCAGGCTCACAGAGGGCCCTCTCAGGCTCACAGAGGGCCCTCTCAGGCACACATAGGGCCCTCTCAGGCACACAGAGGGCCCTCTCAGGTACACAGAGGGCCCTTTCAGGCACACAGAGGGCCCTCTCAGGCACACATAGGGCCTCTCAGGCACACAGAGGGCCCTCTCAGGCTCACAGAGGGCCCTCTCAGGCACACATAGGGCTCTCTCAGGCACACAGAGGGTTCTCTGAGACACACAGAGGGTCCTTTCAGGCAAACAGAGGGCCGTCTCAGGTACACAGAGGGCCCTCTCAGGCACACATAGGGCCCTCTCAGGCACACAGAGGGCCCTCGCAGGCAAACAGAGGGCCCTCTCAGGTACACAGAGGGCCCTTTCAGGCACACAGAGGACCCTTTCAGGCGAACAGAGGGCCGTCTCAGGTACACAGAGGACCCTTTCAGGCACACAGAGGGTCCTCTCAAACACACAGAGGGCCCTCTCAGGTACTCAGGGGGCCTCCCAAGCACACAAAGGGCACTCTAAGACCAGCAGAGGGCCCCTTAAGACGAACAGAAGGTCCTCTGAGGTACGAGGGTCAACGTCAGGCCACAAGGTACCTTATGAGGCCACCAGACGGCCCTCTTAGATCAAAGATGGTCCCTGGAGGTCACCAAAGGGCCCTCTGAGGTGAACAAAGGGCCCTCTGAGATCGAAGAGATCAAAGAGAT